TATCAATATCCTCTTTTACGTTTTTAGATGTTATGAATTTTAGCTTTATATTTCTTATCGCTCAATTTTGTGTTTTCTTAATTATTTATCCACTGAAGAAGGTGTATAAAACACCGAAACGTTTGGATTGAATAAATAAACTACGAGATAAAGTATACAAAATGACTTCAAATATATCGTATTGTAACTGGTTAAATATCTAATAGATTACAATGCATTATTCTTTTCTATCTCATTGCAATGAGATAAGAAAATGGAACTCGGTGTAACACAACAGATATTAATGCGTTATAACGAGTTAGACGATATGCAAAACGAATAATGATTTTCTCGTAAATAACATATTTCCATAAAATTCTGAGACTGCCAATCGATTCCTCTTGAAAAGTTGGTCCGGAAAACATTATTTTAGATATATCAGATATATACATTACTGACTTGAGAGTTAGGACATATCCCACAGCACACCTATTACCAGTACCATGTATAGCGTTCGTCACAGCACCTGAACAGTTAATACACTGTAATGCCATAAATTTATAACGTTATAATGTGTTAGATGTTATAGCGGTATAATGCATTAGCCTATAATGCGATAGAAATTTAGTAACGCCTTGTAACGGTATACAAAATATTAACGCGTTAGTCGAATTTATAGCGTTGTAACATTATAAAATATGAGAAAGTCGTTGATAAAAATGCATTATAACACTATAATTTCAATTTTTTGTCAGCTTTTTCCACGTAACGCGTCATAATGCATTAAAGACATGTTTTTTCGAAATTTATCGCGTTGTAACACAATAGAAAACCTTAGAACCTTTAGAAAACGCCACAATCCACATTTGTGTTATTCAGTATCCAATGTTCCAGATGCTTTTTACCTTTGTGCTTTTATGTTTATATCTACCAAGCTTAAAGTTTGTCCACTATTTGTAAAAGGGTGTGGTTTTATTTACATTTTTCTCTATTTTTCCCTTTTCATGTATCATACAATGTCTACGATAGATATTAGGGATATACAGCTTTTTTAATAATATTGAGTAATGCCACTGAGTCCATGTTTTTTAAAACTAAATTCGAATAAGGGCTCCTCTTCTCTTTTTTGACGATGTATATATCGCCTGTATTTATCATGCTTGGATATTTACGCAACAATCTTAATCACGGATAGATAGAGTTAATCATGGATAAAATTAATCGCACATGAAAGTTGATCATGATTAAGGGTTATGTTGTGTAAACATGATATATGCATTACAAGAAGAGTACAGCATACTAGAATATGGAGATATGTATGTCATTTTCATTGAGTTCTATTTTAGTTTTCACGTGAAATGTTTACATCTTTATTATTCATATCGTACCGTTACAAAAAGAGTTTTAATTTGTAATGTTTTAATTGTTTTAATTGTAAATTAAATCAAGTTTTGTAAGTTCTCATGTTGAAATGTAAAAAAGGTATCATAAAACTATTGGTTAGCAGGATCCATGTAATTTGATCTTATCATACAAGGTGCAGGAAATGCAAAATTTCAGTAAAGAATATGTGTGTGTTATCGTTCCGGAAACATTTTTGAGGGCGAAAATTTGAAAAACTGAAATTGTTAAAACTTGAAAAAACCTAATGTTAGTAAACGAGCGCATGACTCTAATCCAGTGACTTTGGGAGCTTTGAATGTATGAATTTTTAGATTTAGCTTTTCACGTAGAATAAAAATAAAAAACTTTCAAAGCTCCCAAAATCACTGGATTAGAGCCATGCGCTCGTTTATTAACATTAGACCGTTTTTTCAAGTTTTAAAAATTTCAGTTTTTCAAATTTTCGCTCTCAAAAATGTTTTCGGAGGAATGAAACGCACATATTCTGGTTTAGCTCGACGAGCTCTATCCAACCATGTATAAATATCGCAAAAATAAATTTTGAATTTTCGGCACCTTACGATATTATTATAATATTACACAATCACCACGACTTTAGCATAGATAGTATCTAGTTTAATTATTAAAAATAAGTCTCTTGAGCGTCACACTCTGAAAGCAACAGAACATACGAGATTATTCAGCTGTCCAAGAGAAGAAAAGTTTACTTTTTTACGAATAAGTGAGAGTCAGTTTAGAGACAAACTTTTTCATTGTTCATTGATTGGCCAGTCTGTATATACGAGGGTTCCTGTAGAACTGAAGGGCAAATGCTAGTATTCAGACAGCAACTTTGGTCATCATCGAATTTATTTTCAAATAACGTACGTACAAACCACTGGCTAACATTTAACCATTTCTTACACATTTATAAACTGTTCGCGAAGCAAACGCTCGTCGTCCTTCGTCATTTGTCATTGTGTTGTTACTGTCATGAGTATGAAAATGATATATTGTTGATGGTGAATGCGAAGTACCACTCATTGTTACCATGTTATTTCCTCGTTGAAAATAGAAGCAACCACAACATGTATGATTGGTGGTGGTCATGGATGATGACGTTGTTTTTATTCGACAAATGAATAGACGTTGAAGTATTTTTTGAAATGACGTACGAAATTTCGAGCAAAATATAACATAGACAATTGGATTCGATGCCGAACTGACATACACAAGTAAAAATGTACAGGCAATAAAATAGGATGATGGTATAAATGGAGTTTTTATTAGACCAGTGTCAAATAGTAGAAATACGAACACTTGAGGACTGAATGAAATAAAATAAATGATGATTACGATAATTAACATTTTAATAACATTCCGACGTCCTCTTAAAGCATTCACTGCTATAGTGTAACTATTTTTAAAATAATGTAAATTGGTTGAATTTGAATTACGATGATATAGGTTATTTGTCGTTTTTTGAAATAAATTGTTCTCAGAAGTCGGCGAGGACGAAACAAATGAACGATGAGATAAATGTCGTTTTAATGAATGATCAGACGAGTGTGATTGACAGTCATTATTGAGTAGTGTCATTTTTGTCATTTTTGTGTGTTGTTGATCTTTCTCGCAATCAATAGTATCATCATCATCATCATCATCTTGTGCTTCATTTCGTTTTAACTGCAATAATTTATTTGATTGTTTAGTATGTGCAGTTAAAGAAAAATTTCCTTGCAAATGTTCATCAACATTAAATAGTCGTCTCGCTATTTTTGTATAACAGTATAATTGTAATAATAATGGAATAAAATAGAATATACATGATTCAATACTCTTGTAAATTATATATGGTATATGACTTGATGATGTTATATTAGTTGTTGTTATATTATATGTTATATTAGTCGTAGTAAATTGCAGTGAACAACTTGAACGTGTCGAATTAGGATAATGAATAATGTCTAAATAAATAAGATTTGGTGCACAACAACAAAATGAAAATAACCATACGCCAATCATTATAAATGCAACATGTTTTTTCTCACGAAGAAATTTTGAACGTAACGGATAGACAATACCAATAAATCTAAACAGAATAAAGATATTACTCGAAAAAATCAACATGTATGAAAGAAATTTATCATCTTCAACGATAAACAGGTATTATTATTATTATTTTTTTTTTCTACTGTTTTTACTATATTTCACTTAGAAAGCTTGCCACTCGAATGTACATAAAAAAGAAATGAAATTTTTAAACTAAGAGCATATTCAAATATTCAATTGACTCATTGAGAAAGATGACTGTATAGATTCATATCATTATTTACGAAACATCATTACTAAGCTTTTATCTTATTTTAGAATCTTTCGTCTATCAAAAAATATTTATATTTTCATGTCTCAAATTGCTATGATACTATAATCAAGTTCTTTCCCTCATTTTTCTTCTCTCTCTTATATCTCTCATCACTATTTATGCGATAACTAATCATAGATGAGATGATAGTTTTAATGTAGATGCATACAGCCGATTCTCCAGTATGAAACCTCTCTTTTTTGAGAATTTCCATGCATCTTTGAGTTTTAATAGAGATGATACGAGGCAATGTCTTATATATAATAAACCTTCGAAGATCAGTACGTAATAGAATTTTTTTGATCTGAAGTAGAGATAGATATAGCATGACTTTTTTCATATTTTTTAATTCAGTATTGTTCATTTGAACGTCAAATCATTATACTAATATGTGGAAATTTCTCAACTATTGTTTGATTTCTTGTCAGAAACAAACTTTTTATTCAATATTTCTTAAAAAAGACAGTTTTGGACACATACCAAAATAGATTCGAAACTTTCACATTGTTATTTTTCAAATGGATCTTTTTTTTAACCAATTTTAATAATTTTGAACTTCCGTACTTCATGAACATTCAATCGGAGTACATATGGAAGTACAGTGTTTCTCCTTTGATTTTAGTTCTGTTTTGATTTAGTTAGTACTCTGGTTTTTTTTTATAGCATGTCTTGTTGAACTATTTATGAATCTTAAATATGTTTTGTTACCTTTCTATTGTAACCGCACACATTGTTAACACCGATGCATATTGTGCGAGAACAAGTATCGATCGAATTAATTTACATGAAGCACGATTTAAAACCCAATTTCCTCTTGTTGATACAAATTGTATAATATCTGGTATATTAAATAGAAGAATAATCAAATCACAGCAGGCAACATGAACAATTAAACGATTTGTAAGTGATCGTCTCATACGAAAATCTAAATGGACACTTAATACCACTAAAACATTTCCAATAATGCCAACACAGGCGATTATCAAAAATAAGCATGTTAATATAAATAACCACACAACATGATGTTGATCAGATTTGGTGAGTGATACCGTTGTATTTAATGAAGTTATTGAGATAGCCATTGTTACATGATACTTTTGGTTGCAGAAATCTAAAATAAGAAAAGAAAAATCGTTATAATTCCTCATCAAATAATAAGAAAGCAGAGAGACTAAAAATAAGGTTTGAACGTCTTCTTTCTAGTTCAATAAATACTTTTGCTCAAAAATTTGTCGTAGAACCAAAGTCTATTTGTTATCCTATATTTTGTTTTCTTTTCATTTTCTTTTCTTTTTCTCTCTCTCTCTCTCTCACTCTCTAGCTTAAAAAATGATTTACATTTCTAAACTCTTCTCTCCTTGTTAAATTGTTTTGTTTTCTTCTTTTCTTCTACTATTCCAGTAGTCTCAGAAGAGTTTTAGCGCAAGTGAATAGATGAGTTATAATTTCTAACAATAATTTTTAACACAAATTTTATATAAGCAAAGCGAAACGATTTGCCGTAAACTTTTAAACAAAAATAACTACATGAGATTAAATTCGTATTTCCTAGAGCATTTCATCGTCCGATAAATCGGCTACGTCATTGTATAATCTAAATTATTTAATGAACTGTAGCAAAGTAGAATATGATAAGTAGAAATTCATATTTCAACAATTCGCCATTGTTTGAGATGATCTTGTCAAATTTAGACTTCAGAACGATACTTGAAATCTGTAGAATGTATTGAGACTTAGTAAGAAAATAAACTTGTATAACTTAATATTCTAACTAAAGTAAATAATAATAATAATGAGATTCTTATTTTGTTGAAAAAAAATATTTATTTAATCTACTGAAAAAAGAACTGATAATGCTCTTTTCTTACTATTACCACTAATTGCATTAACTGATCATTTTTCTTTCGTTCTTAACAGTGAGATTTAGAATTTGTCGTTCATTCTTCTTGATATTTTCTTAAATAAACTGAATAAAGATAAATAATGTACCATTAAATAAAATAGATCAATAAACTGGGATAGTAAAATTTTATTTTCTGAACAAAATATACACAATGAAATCTGGAAGTCACATTTTGTTAATAACCATGATTTGCAGGTATTCTAACTGCACATTCTAAACTGACCAGCATTATAATTAATAATATATTATTTAAAAACCTTTTTCATATCCATTCAATTTTACCGTATAATATACCTTATTTGAAACATTTTTGAAAAAAAAATGTCTTAAATCAGATACAATAATATTAAATTAGTTGGCATCAAGAATATTCAGATATAAAATATATTCCTAAATGAACATATGTTTAAGAACTATGAACAATATATATTTACGGAAATTTCTCACATTTAGTTTTCTTCTAATCGTTGATTTCAAAAAATTCAATGATAATATTTCAAAGGAAAAAACTAGCCTCATCAAACATTGTCAATTGTCAAATATAGTTTTAAGTAAAATTTGAATCTTAGTCAATTTAATTTACAGATGTTTATATAGATTAAACGATCATTTTTTTCTGTCGTAAAGTATCTTGTATATGTATCTATCTATATCTATATATTTAAATACCCAAATGACTAAAACATTTTTTTTGTTTTATCATAGAAAAAAACGTCAAGAGATAATATTTGTCACGCATAAAAAAAAAATTGATTTTCATCTTTTTTATTATAACTGAGCATAAACACGAGATAGCTGATACTACTTCTTTATTATATTTTTGACAATAACCGTATGCAAAATAATTCTAGAAAGTTATTAAAAATATTCATAATAGAACAAAAAGAAAAGCGAACAAGATAAGTTGGATACAATTCACACCATGACTATATGAGAATTCTTTTAGACCAACAACGATGAATAACCTTTTTAATAACATAGACATATGTAAACGATTTCCGCCCAAACGTCAAACAACATCATTTTTTCTGACTATGTCAATAAAACAACATTAGAATGTTGAGAAAAACATCTTTGATACGCTAGACAAGTATCTAAAAAACAAACAACACATCATTGAAGTGATGAAGTTGAAAAAGATAATTAGAAAAATATAAAAAATGTTCGATAATACGTTTAAATTGAACGTTCACTCTCAATAATAACTTGTCATATTACTCTTTCAATTGAACATATTTCATATTATTAATCTATTTTTTATTTGAGTTAATAAGAGAAAATAAATAAATATATTTTTGACAGACAATCTCAATTATTAGACATAATCGTCTCTCTCTCTTCTCTACAGGTTTATATCTTTTAGATGTGTTATGTACTAATTAATTATAAAGAATCTCTTACACACATAATTTTCAGGAAAAACGCATCATATTCCCACAAGAAAATATTCAACCCATTTGTTAAAATTAGAAATTTCCCATGTGTCATTTAACATCATTTTTTTGGATGAAGAGAACGTGTCCTCCTTCTCGCATAAAATATCGCATTCATTCTGACTAGCCGTTTTAATCTCTTCTGGTAGACAATTTTCATCACCTTGCGTACTCATAATGTGCCATTTGCTCTCTTCTAAATAATGTGCACTAATTATTTTAGTATAGAAATCATATCCTTTCTTTAACCTAGTCTTACCTTATCTTATAGGCAGGGTTTTTCCTACAAGATAAATGAGACATCTCCCAGCTCTATACAACCATTCTTTGCAAAGTTATAGAATTTACAAGAGAAAAAACCCTAAATTAAGTTTCTTCTTATTTTTTCTGTAGCTTTGAGCTAACAATGAACATTTATGACTTTTCTTATAAATTCTATAACTTTACAAAAAAAGATCGTGTAGAGCTGGAAGATGTCTCATTTTAATTAGAAATTTGCGGGCTACAATCATGCCTCATTAAGAAAGGTTCTGATTATTTTTTAGAGTTTCTGAAAAACTAGTTTTCCAGAAAACCGCTCTCTGAAGGCCCCTGTGCAGCTACCGCTTTGATATTCGAATTCAGCATAGTTGATAACCTATGACCCACTAGGTTTGGCTGAAAAAGCCCTGTGAAAGTTCGCGAAGTCCCCTCGTAAGTGATATTGGCACACGATTCTCAAATCTACCGTTCTGTAGACAGACGAAGAAAATTCATTAGAATATGATATCTCAAAAAATATGTTTTACTATATGAAGCGTAACGAATCAACAGTTTTATCTTATTAAAGAATAAGCACAATTCTGAACGTGAAAATATTAAAACTAAATCATTTTTTAAGAATACGTTTACAAAGAAAATAACAATTTCAAATACATATTTGTCTAGTTTCTTACTTGTATTTTTTTTTCTCAAATCTACCGTTCTGTTTCATTATTTCTATTAATGTATGACAATTTAAACTCATAAAAACAATGAAGCAATAATAATTTTGATTTTTAATGACAGATATATCTATGTCATAAAAATCAAAAATGTAAAAACACCCACCATGTCATTTCTTTGTATGACTTACTGACTGCTGTACTGACTACTTTATTCAACTACTTTCTAACAAACATTCTACCCATTAAAAAAAAGAAAAGTAAATTACTTGAACTAGTTTCGAGCTCATTATTATTTAGTCATTAATCACAGTATTTTTCTCATTTCACAAAAAATAAAGAAAAGATCCGAGATTTAAAACTGAAATTTTCTCATTTCTAAGTTGTTAATGAATATAGACATTTTTTGTTTAAAACTCTTCTTGTTTTTATATTCCATCCGTGTTTGATAATTTTAAACGATTTATTCAAGAGTCTGTTACATTATCCTGTTTTCATACACGATTACGACCTTGAGATAGAAAAGTTCATGTTTTCTGATATTCAATTAATTATTTATGTACAAAAAGCTTTTTTTTATTAAAGATCCATCCTACCTTCTTTAACAACCGTTATCTCAAAAGAGAATTTTTAATGAAAATTGATCTTTAGAATAGACAAAATATGTACATATTTCAATAAAATATCATTATTATATCACCTATAGAATAACAATCAGTCATCTAACTAAGCACTTCATCTTTATTTTTTCTCACTTCTATTTATTTTCTCACTTCTTGATTTTATCGTTCTGTTTTCGATTATGAGAATGGAATGGTTATCATACATTTTTTCTTTTTTCAGAGCAGGTGCAATCGGAAACAATGCGAACCATATTTTATCTATTTATTAAGGATATGAATAGCTTAAAGCAAAAGTAATCCGTGTTGTCACCAAATAAAAGACAACAAGAAAAAAAAAGATCAGGAATCAACCAGAAAAAGAAAAATGCTAAAAGGGTTTGTTGTGATGTCTTACAGGCATGCCCATTTCTTACCGTAATTTTGATCATTTATTTATACAAATGTAATAGATTAATACAATTATGTTAAATAATTATTGCTAATGCATAATCATTATTGGAAATGTCATCGTTACTACCTGAAAATAAATTATAATATTCTTTCAATAATATTTTACTATAAAAATAGATTTTGTTTCCATTTTAAAGACATGTTTGTTCAAGCTCACTCTCATAAGACTAATTGTTGGTTAGACATTATACTCATATTTTTCCTCTCTTGTTCAACATATAGTTTCCAAAAAATAAAGAGAAGTATTTTTCTCTTTTCTTTTTTTTCTGAACAAAGATGAAAACTATTGACAATGCATTTTTCTTAAACTCCAAATATCGGATATAAATGACAGAATGAATAAAAGACTTGTATCACCTTTTAATTAAACAATTCAAAATTGTAGTATCTAATCACTGAATATATTTCTTCTTATACTTACAATCTTTTCATTATAATCGTTAGCACATTACAAGAATAATCGATATATTTATATACATTGTCTCGACCAGCAACATAATGATAGAAAAGTATAAAAAATTTGAATGATACTTCAAGCGCCTTCTAAGTATTGTAACATGATTCATTGTAAATACTAGTCATGTACCCCAATTCTTTTTAACAATTATTAAAAATAAAAGTGCAGCTCAAAAGCTACTTATTATAAATGTTTTTTGAGGATGTGGAACAGAGATGGGGGAACGTACAAAGCTTGTTCCTAGATCTTCTTAGCTGTGAAGTATTTATAAAGTATAGTGATGCAAGACTGAATACGTCTTCTAGTTTTTACTCTTCTTTAATGCGTTTATTGCTTTTACTCCTTGACAGCTATCGTGCTTGGCGTGTTTCATACAGGCAACACAGTGGAAGAGTAAGGGGAGTAAAAGGCTGAGAGTGAAGGAGAAGGAGTAAAACAGTAAGAGGAGTGAAAGATACTAAAAGATCTAAATGTTTAACAGAAATAAGAACGTAAAAGGAGAAGAGAGACGGGTTGTATACTGAACGCCGGATTTTAAAAATACGAAATAGATATTCTGTTACGTAAGCCAGAAAGATCTCAGAATAAATTCTGGACAATCTTCCAACCCTCGTATGGATTTTTCCAACAGATTTTTCTGTAAAAAAACGAGGTACAACGAAGGCGAAAACAGAAACAATATTAATGAACTCCAACCAATTCCAATTTCACTTTTTGCAAAAAGACTTTGTCATATCAAATTTAAGATTGTTGTGAACTTCTGAAAAAGCGTATTTTGTAGTGAAAAGGCTTTGACTACAATCTGACATGCTAAAAAATAATTGATAACAAATAGTTTGAGTATAATTAGTATAATAACCTCTGCAGATGCAGTGAAAAACAATTCTAGAACTGTTACATTCCTAGTAAACATACAATTGCAATAGAGAAACATTACTTTGTACAGCCAAAAAGACTAGCATATTTGGTCACTTAAGTAGCAATTTGAGAACTATAAAACAAAAGTTTATCATTTTTTTTAATTTCGACTTTGAAAAAGTGGCTATTTTTCCCCAATCTTATTGATCTTATCCATGTTTTCTTTTAATTGCCTGCACTGTTCTCGCTATATATTCTACCAAAGAAAGCATGGATGAAACAAAACAAAAAGTCATTGATATTGGTATCACTTTTTTTGATCACCAAACATTTTCTAGAGATTTATGATATTTCATCTTCTGCATTCATTCTCTGTTCAACATTCCATTTATTTAACTTGCGTCAAGTTAGTGATGAAACACGTATTCAATCGTTAGGAAAACGAAATAGAAAAGAGCGTCTAAAAAAAGTTAGCACAGCTTTAAATTTGTGAACAGATATAAATGAAAATGTTTCACATGTTGTTTATTTTTGTTTTGTACGTTACATTTTGGTTGGGGAATAAAACCGTGAGATGGTACTTATAAGTTATGCCGTTATCTTTCTATAAATTCGGTGATCAAAAGTGCATTTCCTTCATGGACATGTTGAAATGACTTATTCTTAATTGAGATCATTATTTTTGCACTCACTCTCATTTTGCGCTTCCCGCCATATGATGTTTCTTTGATGTTACACATTTTATCAAAAAAGTGATCTCAATTAAGAAGCCTCGGTTAAAATAAAAAAGTTTTATCAAAAGATAAGTAGAAACTTGGACATTTACAGTTTTGATCCTGGAAAAAATGCACAACTGATCCCATATACCAAAATTCTTTTGTCGGTCCCACTCACTCTCATCTCGCCGATCCCCCGCCGCATTTGATCTTACACAAAGTTTTGTAAATTGAGGTGTAAAGTTTCTTAAAGTCAGCTAAAACCCAATCTTTAGGTCCAAAAATCTGTTCATGGAGGTAACTCAACATGCTCTACAAGACGGACAGATCTAAATCTCTTCATTATTTTTCTAATTCTGGTCTGATTTTCTGTTCTGGTTTTCTATACTGTGTCTGTCGATAAAATAGATGGCGACAGTCGCGATTATCGCATCGAAGTTCCATGCTATGATCATGACTGTCAACCTCTTTCAAGCTTAAAGTACAAACGTTGATTTTCTAGTGCTACTTTTATAATATGTGTGCCTGCGGAAATATGAAATATCAAAGTAATATTCAACGTTTTCAAAAGTAATCGGCAGCCATTTTTACTCTTCTCCACACTTTTTCTCTTGACAAATCGATATTTAACCAATGCTAATAGCAGGTGATAACGTCTGTCAACGATTAGACAAGATGACCATTCTGCTTTTTCATCGTTTATTCTCCTACGAAAAGACTCTGCTGTCAACTTTAAAACTGTGAATAATGACAAAAACGTTTCTAGCATCCACAGCGGAAAGGTTTCAATTCCTCAACACTTGTATCCAAATCGATAGCCTCATATTTGGATACTTCTGTAGTGTAATCACATCCATGTCTCGTATCCCCATTTGCTGTGAGAGTACGTGAAAGTGTATAGATAATAAGATTAAACTGCAGAAGTATCCAAATATGACTACCGGTTTGGATACAAGTTTTGAGGAATTGAAGTTTTTCAGCTGTGGCTGTTAAAAAACTTTTTGCCGTCCGATTTCTGCCCAGAATTTCTCATTTATGAAGTAGTTCATTCGACTTTATCAGAAGATTTTTATATTGTTTCGTCATACTCAAGTTTATATTTACCTTTTCATGCTATTAGCATTAAATGCCGCATCGTCCTTATTCACAGTTTTAAAATTGGCGGCTAACTTTTTCGAAATTTTCTTCTGAGTGTTAGTTTTACGGCTCTATGTCATGCCTAGGAGAAAACAAGCCTGCGATTATTACGTTGAATTTGTTTATTATTTCATTTTCTCTCTTTAATATTACCGTTGCGCATATCCATTTCTTTCAAATGTTCGGATTTATAGCTTGTTCTTTCATAGAATTTTTGCTAATAAGGCGGTAAAAAGATCTCATATTTGATTACTGCATGCTTTTTTCAGAATGTGTACACTTCGCGCAGTCTGCGAAGAAAAGGATGTATCGGTAAAACCAGCGACAAAACTCATTATAATACTACGATCTTTCCGCAAGTCCAAATAAAAACTGTTTTCGTGTTTATTTACATGCGTTTACTCGCACAGTATTTCTGTCCAAAAGACAGGCTTTTAGGATGGTAGTATAGTAAGGAGGAAACGGCACTATTTCGCCACTTCACTTCACATGAAACCTACTTCACTTCTAGTCAAGTCAATTTGTGACATTGTTATTTCATTGGATTTTGTTGATTTTTGTCTGACAGATTTATTTATTGCACAATTCTTAGTTTTATTTACTGCATGCATGTAAGGTGGATTGGCCTTAATTAATCGCTAGCGTTTAAACTTTGCTTGTCTCCACGCAAAGCAAAAATACATCGGTTAACATGCCTGATTTATTTTCTCATCGCTATGTTCTTCGTTTCCACTTCACTAGTTCACTTCAAAATCACTTCCAGTTCACCATAAACTCTTTTGCAGATCAAATATATCCTAATAGCAAAAAAAAACGCCGTATACTTTTTTGGAGTAAATCGCTTCTCAAGTAAAAAATATCTTTTCAATATAGGAATATCGAATATGCTGTGGTAGATTCGAATCGTATCTGTGAACAAAGATGAATCATCCACTACATTTGGTTATGTTTTTAGATTTTATTATAAATGACAAATCCAGTATCGAACAGCAAAATGTTTTCATTTTTACCAACAACAGTAGAATCCTATGCCTCTCCATCCGCATCTGCCAAAGTCAGCCCACTTTTTCAATCATCAACAAATTCATTCTTTTCAACTAAACCACCACCAACTAACGTCTCAGTTTCGGTTAATCCATCACAAACTTCAACAGCAAGTGACTTTCGACAACCAACTTTCGTGTCTGAGTCTACAACAATGATTTCCACGTCACTTCCTCATTCAATCCGTTTACTTCTTTCCATTCCTAATGTTAGTGTGTACACATTCGGTGAAACATATTTAATTGGTTATTGTCATTCTGAACATTGTTTGTATGTTTATCAGTGGAATAAATTGTTTTCATCAAAAACAATGCCAGACAAAATTACTACAGAACAGTGCCAGCGTTTACATTTATCGTCATCACCAGCGTGGTCGATTCAACGTTTATTATTGAATAAAAATGAAACGATTCTTACTATGTTAGCAGAAAAAGTTGCTTATATCATACATTTACCTCCATATTTAGCAATCGAGAAGGATGAAAATAAAATTAGTAAATCACCAGGTCAGTTAAAGAATGACTTGTCCAATATACATAATTTAATTTCTTGTACTGTAGATGAGTTAACAAGAGCTTCCACTTAATCTCTAGGAAAATTTCAATTCAATTTCACTGTAGTCCATGCGTTAGCAAATGTGTCGTTGATTTGTTTGTGAAAAATGTTAAATTACTTGTTGTTTTGTTATTCACTAGAAAACCCGTCTCACTCATCTGTTACTGATTTATTTTGTCCAATCATTCGTTTATCTCCACCTACCGAGTCATCATTGATGTATTTGATTGATTTTATCTGGCTACCATCGCCGTTTGATCAATATTTTCTCGTCGCCTACTCAAACTCTCTATGTTTACTCTACAAATTGTCAAAATGTAATAAACGGTATGATTTATGTCAAACCCATTCAATAGCATCGACACCAAAAGCTAAGAAAATATCACTAAAAAGTTTGACGGATATAGTTAAGTTGGATTATGGACAACCGAAATATTCTCAAGAAAATCAACAGATTTATTTACCAATATTTGCTATTAAAACTGATGGAGATATTTACTGTTTATATTTGTGTCAACAGGATATTAAGAACAAGTACGTAAAAAATGTAAGAAACTTTAGTTATCCTATTGATTTTTGAATTTTCTCTCTAGTTCTCAGCCTTCATCGTTTATTGGTCCATTACGTATTTATCCCACTTCATATGATAATTATGGATGTCGTACAACAACAATGACTTGTCTTAAATCTTCTTCGGGACCAACATGTCTCGTCTATATACGTGATGAATCTATCTTGAATCAATCTCTTGTACTTCTTGATCAATTATTAAATAAATCTATACAGCAGGAAGATCAACAACAACATCATGAGACGATCTTATATACAATCGATTCAATTATTCTACCCGAATCGTCTGCCTCTTCGCAAATGTTAATTATACATGATCCATTGTCAGATAAACGTTATTATGTGGCAGATAAATCAAATATCTATTCAGTCGATGTTGAATGGTTGGACGATGTGAAACAAATGCGAAGTAAATAAAAATATTTTACATTTAACATATTGTGTATATCTTTTTATTTCTCACATACACATAAATAATTTTGGAAAGACTTGAAATATGTATATTAGTTTCTGCTTGATGTTGATTCTTTCATAATGAAAAATTAGGCCTTTTTCAACACGATATAATTTTTCTATTTCAGGCTCGTCAAATTTTTATGAGCAGAAACAAATGCTAAGTTCAAAAGTCGATCATTTAATGACAACAACACTGACAAGTGAAGAGAATAAAAAAACAGCAATAACGAAAAAAGATAAGCGAGATGAAAAAATTAAATTCATGGGCTTAACACAAACGGAAAATAATGGACAATGGCTGTGTATAATAACAGAAAATGATTATGAAAATGACAAAGTAAGATATAAAATTTTTGTTTGAGAAAAAATACTTGATTTATCTAGCGTATGCTTGACAAAGGGACTCAACAAACCTGTATTTAAACTGTATAACAGCTGTTGTATTCTTTTATCTAATTACAAAAGTCAGTAGTGAGATTCCATCTGAAAATCTTAAAACCCACCTTCATACTGGACAAAATTCCTAAAAGTTCTGGAATTTTCAGGCAGTATACTAGTGACTGCTAATGATATTTATATCAAATGATTTTCTAATTCTTGAATTCCAGTTATTAATGTATGTTTTTTTTATTTTTTATTATCGGTAACTTCTTGTGAGAAGAACTGTTTTCGTTTTAGTTCTTTGAGTAGTGAGTTTGTTACTCTTTCTAACTCGCTTAATAGTGATGTAATTGATTTCTGATTTGTTTCGATGATAGAATAATTAACTGTAATATCAGTCATTTTATTTTGTTTGATGACTGCTGTTAATCGATTTTTTTCTTGTAGAATTGTTTGTTCATCGGTTAACTTCTTTTGTAATTAAACTTTTTTAGATTTAATACTTCTTTATTTACCTTCTTTATTGCAACATCGAGCTGTTTGTCATTCATATCTTATTCGTTGTTTTTTTTGTTCTTGTTTTTATAAAAGTGCTATTTTTGAATGTGATAGTCGAATTATTGTCAACATTAACCATTACCATCATATTGAAATGTGGCATAATTTAGTTTATATGAAGTTCGTTTTTGTTTACTTCTTTTCTGGGCAACATAACGCTCACATTGACAGTGGAGAACAAGGGAAGAGAAAACGTCTTGTTTTGTTAATTCATCAGTTTGAAATTTGACAACAGGTTCATTTCTTGTTGTTACAAGACGTTCATTTGTGTATCTTTTGTGCTGTTTATGTTGTGTTCATTCTATTTTCTGTTGTGATAGCAATATGAGATAGTGGTTCAATGTATGATTTGGAGCAAGAAAATTTGCCAAAATATGCAGAAAGGCGAAAAAATATACGAAAATGAATGTGGATTATGAAAAAAATCGATGAAAACGTCGAAGAAAATGTTTTTCTTCTTTTCTAGAATTTTTTCAAAAATTCTGAAAGATTTTGGAATTTCACCAGGAATTGCTTTTTTAGAATCTCTCGTTTCCGAAGTATAATGTAGTTCATTTTTTTTGTTCCTCGCGATTGATGTATAACTCATTTTTCCAATCATATTTCATCTTATATTTTAGCATATTGTTCTTCTGCGTCCAAACTCTGCTTATTTGCCATCAAATGTCGATCGATCCTACTCATGCGTTATAGACAAACCAAACCAACATTCAACATCTACATCTGTTCAAACAAACGATGATTTTGTTCAACATATTCGCTCTCTACTGTTATCTCGGGATCAAAATGTGCCTCATTTACGTCTAACAAATTCACAAAATGCTCAACTACCCATATCTGATGTTGATTTTGAGAAAAATTTACAAAAATTTATCAGTATTTTTACTAATAATTATTTATCAAAACAATTACGAGTTCAGAAAGAATTAGAAAATAAACAACGTTATCTAGTTGATTTGAAACAAAAACAATTAATTGCCTCTCAAGAATTGGAAACAAAATTTAATAATATTAAACATCAGAGTGACAACATATTAGAAACATATTCTCAGGAACGACAACGTCGAAAAAATATGGAGCAAAATTTGAACGATATATTGTCTGTAATTGAAAATACGACACCGGTGTTAAGTGAACAAGAATTATTGATGAAAGAACAATTAGAGAAATATCATATACAATTAAAACATTTGAAAACAAGAACAGAACTGGTCGATGATTTTATACATGGTGAACAATTCGATGATAAATCATTAAAACAAGTTCAAGAATTTGTGCAGTGTTATCAACAGAAAATTGAGTTGATAAAACAGCAATTAGATGAATTATGAGAAGAAAAATTGTTGCATTAAATAAATTAAACAGACAATATTTTTTTTTGTCTCTGTGATTATTCATTTATTTTTTTTGTACGAAAATTTTTCGTCGATATATGTATATGATACAAAACAAAAGTTAGTTTTCTAATAAAACAAGAAAAATTGTAAAATAGTCAAGTTCTAACAAATTAAATCATGAATGATTGAATAATTGTTGTAGTATAAACTTAATTATAATTCATATGACAAAGCTCCATAGACGATTTAATATTTCATTTTGAAGTACATGAATATTTTTAATTTAGAGAAATAAAATTTAAAGTTAGAAATTCATGTGCAGAGCTAGGCTGTTTTCAGTGTTATAAAAAAATTATAAAATTATTTTAGAGACAGCACGGTTTAGTAGCTATGTTATTCATTATGTACTTCAAACGCCCTATGTTCGAACATCGGCGCTGGTAATTCATGTAATAACCTTGGGCAAGTTACTTATGTCTCAGTGTCTCGGATCACCAGTCTGACAGCATATTCATCGTATTATACGTCATCACTACGCTATGACGTATAATAGAGCTCCACTGATAGGTTGTGTACCGTTTCTATGTAGAAAGCTAATACATGGTTAGTGAGCGTGTACGGGAAACTCAAATAATTGGGCGCAAGAATTCTGAGGGTGAGGGTGATCGCGAGGGTGTAAATTTAATTATTTGGGGATAATACGTATTCTAGGCGAACCTCTACCACGATTTTCGATCAACTTTTCTGTTTTTTCTATTTTTCATAAAAAAAGCATTTTTTCGACGGTTAGAAAATTGAATAAAAACACTTCAGAAATCACATTAGAAAAATCAGTAATCTACAGTTCGATGCACCTTCATCTCCTCTTTCCAATGGTGAAAAACGCAGTTCTCTATCTTGTTGCTATCAAACGTTATTCAAAAGTACACGAGCATTCATGTAGAAGTTTGCGCAGTATAGACAAAATAAGAAGAAGACGTACTTGAGTTTGTCATATAACTATTATAGTCTTTTCAATTTTCCATTAGGATTTTGAATGGTATAATTGGAAAAGAAAGCGAAGTCAAAAGAGAAACAAAGAAGACCATGTAAAATCATCTGCAAAAAGTTGTTATGCAAAAGTACCAACGTATACAATGAAAAAAATCGTCAACACAGCCAACATATGGATGTATGCTTCGCTGTATATCATATTCAGCGTACAACTGGGAAGGATATCAGTCCATTTTTCTAAAATTATGCAATGAATGACTATGATTTATAGCTAATTTTCAATATTGCAGGAAAAAGAATACTTTTTTTAATAGTCAAAACGGGTATGGTTAAAAGCTGTTATTTACTGATCAGAATCCGTTGTCATTTGTACGGCTGGTTCTAGAAAGTACTGATTTTCACAGTACTCTGTTACTATTCAATGTGCGACGTATTAGGATCGGTTGTAAAGGTCTTCGATTGTAAACTGTTCGTCCATCATCTCCAACACTGTAACCGCCTGGCTTAGACAACAAATCCATTTTGTTTATCATTCCACCAATAGATATGTCATTCTTTTGAGAATCGTACATGGGATTATCAACAAATTCGGTTTGAGTACGATCTCGTTGAAAACCATATTTATTCATTATATAGACTGAAATACCAAGAATAATGTAAAATATACAGTTTTAACGAGAAATCAGTCAGCCAGAAATGGAACTTTTAGTCAATGTAAGACAATCTCTCTGCAAAATTAACAATTATTAGGTGCATGATACTCATGATAGTAACGGATGCGACAAAATCAATGATACTCTCAGTGTTTCCACGATAGCTTTTTCAATTTTTATATCGCTCAGACTCATTTGTTTTTTCAAAAGATTTGACAGGATTAGTTTTCAAAAGTGTTCTTCTTATAAAATTCTGTCCTTTTCTCACGTTTCTTTACGTATTGAAACGCAGTACACTGTAACCTTGAATTAATTTCCAGTTTATAGAAAATCGACCGAAAAATCGCGGGGATTTTCTGGTTTATCCCCGAATTTCTAGAAAGTGGAAATTCGTCTAGACATTTTTAGACCAAATACTTATTCATCTTTTAGTTTTGCAATCAGTGTAGGTATAAGAGCGTCACGTAAAGTCATTCATATTACACTTAAATCAGTTTTGACAGTTTCTACTTTAGATCATAATTCTGCCTATGCCAGCAAGAATTTTGATTTAGGCAGAGACAGTGGTGGCGCGAAGTTTCGGTAGGAAGCTCCCAAAATCCGAGACGTTCACCAGAAATTTCTCAAAAGTATGAGCGGGGCAATACAACCTGATCGCGCCGCCACTGGGTGGAGACCCATCAAGGAATTTCCAGTTTTTAGAAAATCAAAAAAGAAGTTCTGTGTTCTTGGAAATTATTTATGAAAATTCAACGATGATTTTCTAGATTGTTGGAAATTCTCTTTTCTATAAACTGGAAAATCCTTGAGGAATTCCTACAGGTACTCCTTGAAATTCGCCGGACATTTTCCATAAATAATTTCCAACGTTACATTGTAAAGTAAGTTTCTCTGTACTTTAACGAGTGCTCGTTCTAGTCATGTACAGTGAAGTGCGTTAAATTAAAACAATGTACCCTAGTCAAGAATCTTGAAAGAAATCCTGCAGGACTGGTTCATATTTTACTAATCGAATGTTTTGTTAGCATCTGAGTATTCCATTATTTTGTTCAAATGTGGGGCGAAGCCGTTGTCAGTTGATCATTTTTTAGTACAGTTCGATCACCCATGTGACAGGAAACGTGGAAAAAAATGATTTTTCAAATAAAAAGAAAAGCAATATATTTCTCACGCAAAAAAAAGATAGAACTTTTCAAGGACTACAAAAGGTTAATTAAGTTAATTTTTTTCGCAAATCAATAAAACATAACGAGTAAACTCAAAAAACCTTTTCATTTGAAAGCCCATCATGTCGGAGCATCGCAGTATTATTCGTGTAATTTCTTACTTTTTCACTTATAAGAATTGCGTTTTGTCGTTTTTGTCTCTTATATTTACTTTCTTGTACGCGTGTAAAAATACCGTGAAAAATGAAGGGACGGAATCTTCGCAATTTAAGGAGGAAAAAGCTTCTTGTGAGTTCAAAAATAGATTTAGATAACGAAAAAACTTCGGTACTTTCGGTACGGTTCCAATGGTTGGTACCGGTACTGACAATACCTAGTCGGGAATTGAGCGAATCTTTTGAAAAAACAAATGAGTCTGAGCTATAAAAATTGAAAAAGCTACCGTGGAAATACTGAGAATATCCTTTATTCTGTCATACCCAAAGTAGATACTTTATAAAACGGACGATCAGAGGCATAACTCTTGTTTTCTTACCTTTTGTAGCATGAAGTGCTGGATATAATAATAATGGCCGCAAAGCCTAAAGCGTTCAAATATAGAATATTTGTATGAAGAAATTGGTGGAGATATATTGGCGGTATAATAAATAACTTACATGTTGATTTAGAAGTTTCTGTTTTATTTGAGTATTGATCATTTTGTTTAATTGTCTTGTTATTTGGAGACGACATCTATCCGCACATGCTGCTCTGGTTGCCCATAAACTTTTATGATCAGCCCAGATCTTCGATCCGACCCAATGACTGAGACATTCATCATATCCGAAATGATAATACCATAATTGTTTATTAGGTACGCAGAGTTGACCGGATTGACCAGATAGTGGCTAAACAACAAACAGATTTGTTAGTATATTACGTTCGTGCCGTTTTGAACTATATACTACGATAAAACAAAATACATCGTATGTTGATGTAAAAGTCCTTGTTTGAATCATAGTTGTGTTTAGTATGGTACAATTATCAATCAAATCTTACCTTTCGACAGTCTAAATTTTTTTGTATACGTTCACAAACACCCGGTGTTTCTTTTGGTGCGTAAGCATCTAGAAGACAGAAAAAAATTATACCTAATTATGTTGAAGCAGACAATATTAAACAATTTCACAAACTAAGATTTTCAGCTATATCTCTCATTGATCTGATGTAACATCGTGATATGTTACAAGAAAATCCTTGATCATTGGATACAACTTATATTAACTACCTGGTAATCGTATTAATTTTGAAAATAAGGGCTTTTGATCAGGATCATATTTATCATACCACTTTGCTGTTGTTCTTCTTTCGTTACATGCTCGCTCACATTGTTGTTTCGAAAAAAAATAGCCTCGTATATCCACACTGCATACTTCACGTTGAATACATTCTCGATGATATTCTTTATATAGATCCTGACCATTTATCGACTGTAAATAACGTGTATCATCTGTATATGTCCACATCAATCGACCATTTACACATTGATCTTCATTATTTATGGTATTTAGACACGGAACAGTTTCTGCTGTGTAGGAATTAGCTAAAATATGGATCGCTCAGTTAAAAAACATTAAGCTCCTCGTATAAGTTTGAAAAGGAGTAATTAAATAATCATTTTAACCTGTATATGTTGCTAATGCTAAAATAATCAAAATTAACGACAATAATAAGTTCATCTTAATCGATAATAACGTTGGTAAAGAATTCATTACATACCTAATATTCGTAGAATATAGATGAAGAAAAGAATGTCACTTAAAATACACTATGTTGGCTATATATGTTGAATAATTTGATTATAGTATAAATGCAAATACACAGTGTTAACAGTGCTGCTAGACATGCACCGATTAAGGTTAGCCACAATTCTGGTTAATCGTAATAATCGATTATAACCGTTCTTAAATGGTTCCCTTTTTTCTTTTAAAACATATATTTTTTCGCTTTTTAACGTATATCTCTCGGTCAAGGATCAAAGCAACTACAATGCTTCCCTAATTATTTCATTAACTTTTAATGTTTTTCGTGAACTCAGCTTTTAACACAAGTATTTCAAGACTTTTTTTTCCTAAAAAAAGGCCCCATGATTTGAAGAACATAAAGAAAACCTAAGTTTAATTAGCAAAAGGGCCCTTTGGCCGCAGTCATTTAAGAGAATGTACATGGGAGAGCATCAAGAATCAGAATAACATGATCAAAAAAAAATTTTTCTAAAAATGGTCTTTGTCGATTCGTTGTTTAAAACTAAGGTTAAAAATTCTTTTAATATCATCAGTCGAACGGATCACCATATAGTGAGCGGTGCAGAAACAACATGATCTGTAGGGGCTATTCATAAAAAGCTATTCATTAATTCTACCGAGTTTTACCCGTGTAGTCAAAGTGCTGGTTGGAACAAAGATTTAGATAAAATAATAGCAGAAAGATTACGTTCGATCGAAATATTGTAAATAATTAGGTTTTGGTGGATAACTGATAAAAAAATTAATTAGTTTGTTGTGGAAACTAGTGAGAAAACTTTTAGGGCGAAAGAATCAGAAAACCTTTTGGACATGTGTCTCAGGAACAATATTTTTTTGTTGCTTATAAAGCATTGGAAAAAGTTGTTTGTAAAAAAAGATCTAAAAACCGCTTAGATTTTTATTTTTTTCAAGTCATTTTAAAACGATTTGTATGATAAATCTGGACTCTTTTTGCTACTTAATTGCAAAAGAAATTTCTAGCTCAAACTCTATATAAATTTTTTTGGATTTATATTAAGGTGTCGGAAATTTAAAATTTCAGCAAAATTTATTTTTGCGATATTTATCCGTGGTTCGATAGAGCTGGTAGTATAAAATAAGGAAATGCACTCATATTCAAAAACTAAAATTTCCCAGCGCAATGTAATATTTGACTCAAAACTACAGTTTTAGATTTAGTTTTTCACGTAGAATAAGAAAAAAATACTTTCAAAGCTCCCAAAGTCATTGGATTAGAGATATGTTGCTCATATAGAAATATATGCTCATTTATTACCATTAGACCGTTTTTTCAAGTTTAAAAATTTCAGTTCGTTTCAGGTTCCTGGAAAACAAAGGATATTTATGTAAAACTCATTTTTTTATATACAAAATGGCATATTCGAAATCACTGCATGAAACTGCATGAAACTGTATATAGTACAAAACGTTTTGAGTAAAAAGATCTCAATGACTCTGTTTTATTTTTTGTTGATAAAGTTTTGGAATAACTGAGAAATTATAATGGTCCATGAAAAAAGGTTTATTCGCAAAAATATTCTCATGGTCTGGCAAGGGTAAATTGACTGACATCTGCATCTGAGCGAGGATAGTGGTCCTATCATTATTTTATATATAATTTTCTCAGAAATGTAATCTTTTGCGTTTGTAATTGATGAAAGATTCAGCTCATCTCAATAATGTAAGATGTAGATAAATATGTATGACAGAAATAATTGTCAATACCTTGTTGCTTGCTCGTTGATGAATAGCTTTTGTCACATTTTTGTTGAATTAAACTACCGCATATTGCGATAGCCATCAGGTGTTTGGAACAAATAGATATAGATCATATTATCTAATAATTTATTACGCATCATTAAGAGATTTGAAATTTACTGTACTCTCTTCTCTCGGTTCTTCTCTTTTCTGCGCGGTGGCAATCTATTTACAAGCCTTTGGTGCTTTCCGTTGTTACGAGATGTTCTTGGGCATAAAATTAACTTTCAAGTTCGAGTCCAAGAGAATGTAATGATAACTTGACATCTTCAGCCGAAAACAAAAGTTTTTAGCTGGAAAACGAAAAGGAAAAAATTTTCAGGCATAGATCGGGTACACTGTAAGATTGGAAGTTATTAATTTCCATAAATAATTCCCAAGAAAGCAGTAATTCTTTTTTGATTTTCTAAAAACTGGAAATTCTTTGATGGGTCTCCACCGAGTGGCGGCGCGATCAGGTTGTATGGGGGTGACCCCACTCATGCTTTTGAGAAATTTCTGGTGAACGTCTCGGATTTTAGGAGCTTCCTACCGAAACTTCGCGCCACCACTGTCTCTGCCTAAATCAAAACTCTTGCTGGCATAGGCAGAATTGTGATCTAAAGTAGAAACTGTCAAAGCTGATTTAAGTGTAATATGAGAGACTTTACGTGACGCTCTTATACCTACACTGATTGCAAAACTAAAAGATGAATAAGTATTTGGTCTAAAAATTCCTAGACGAATTTCCGCTTTCTAGAAATTCGATTGATTTTCTATAAAGTAGAAAATCAACATTTTCTAGAAAGACGGAAATTCGCCGAAGAATTTCTATAAACTAGAAAACTCCCAGGCGATTTTCTATAAACTGGAAATTAATTCAAGATTATAGTGTACAGATATAACGTTCTCGGGTTGGGTGCGGGTAGAAAATTATTTTCGGGTCGAGTATGGGTTGGAAAACGGTACCCGTGCTCACCTCTACACATAGGCTTGGCCCATTGGAACGAATCTTCACGAGAAAAGGTGCTACGGAGTGAGGGACCATAGGCCCGTGCCTGAGATGGGATCTTACAGAAGATATGCGGAGGACGAGACAATCGCATATAAGTACCGGTGATGAAAAAAAATGTTCTAAGGCGTACGACGATTTTTCCAATCAATTCGTACTGCTACTAATCAGACAATATCAGATTGATGATTAGAATCAAAACTTATAGTACTATATGAGATGGCTTTGGCAAAAAATTTTGAGCAAAAACTGACGAGCTGCCTTAGAGAGAAGCATTTTCAAGCATCTCAGCACATTGTAAGATCTATAAGTCATTGGCGGGTCACCAACAGGGTAACTGGGGGCAATTGTCCCTCCTGGAAAAAAATATCAAGGGCAATAAGCAGTTAGTTATTGCCCTGTGAAGAATTATATTTCGAATTATATATTTTTATTTTTTTTATAGTTTGTGTATGTACTACTCTAAAAATTTATTGCTTCCCCTAAAAAATCTTATCCGACCCGCCACTGGATATTTTATTATGATTTAATAATCTCCTTTCTCCCAAGAATTTCATCTAAGCTCTTGCCCAGATTGGGTAACCAATCTAATCAGTATTTAACGAAAACACACTTTCTCCCACTTTGTCTCCCAACATACTTGAAAGTAAAATTTTTCTCCCACTTTTTTTCATTGAGGAAACAAGGTCAAATGGATGTCAAGATTATAATGTAGTTATTGTGTTGAAATAACGATGCTAGATGGTGTTGTGTTCTCATACTTCTTTGGTTTTCTCCAAAAAAAATTACACCCCTTCTGCTTTTCTCTCTTGCCACGGCACTGCCCTACAAAAAAATATTTTATCGGCACCGGTGCCGAATAATTTTTTTCTGGGCACCGATGTGCATCGGTGCCAGAAAGAATGTAAAAATCTCGCACCTGTGCGCATTGGCAGAGCCGCACTGGAACTTTTTTTATAGGGTGATTCTGAATTGAGCAGAATCCAAATGTCCCAAAACTTTTCAAAAGTAAAAAATTTTCGGACGACGATTTTTAATTTTGAAACCTATGTGCAGAGTGACAGAAAAAAGATCTCAGGTCGTTCTTGGCATGTTTAGATATCGTCTATCAGTTGGGGCAAGATTCATTTCATCCCCACCCATTCGATATGGTAAAAATCTTTAGTTAGTAATTAGCAGCCAAAAATGAACAAAATAGTAGTTTCAACGTTTTGATTATTTTTAGGAAATAGAAGTGACATGAGACATTTCATATTATCAGACAAATCGAATACATAAATCTCATATATGGATCTCTTCAAAATGGCGCAAGAATCAGCCTGATTGGTTTATTTTTGAGTGAGCACTGTTCGTTTTACAAACAGCTTCAAAATGCATGTTGAAAAAGCTGAAAAAATAGTCACATGTTGAGAGATCGATGGCTATTTGCAGCTAAAAGGAGATAGCATTAAAAAAAAGGAAAAAACAGACAAATTGTGATTCGTCATATCGCAAGACAGGAAATGGTCAAATGTTTGGACCAATTGAAATTTTATAGATATTGTTGTCTAAAAACGTTCGACTCTCTGAAAAGTATGGTTTTATGGAATAGCCTAACAAAATCAAGTATAACACATCCTTCTCTGACCTACAAGATCAAACAACCGATATTTGCTGTTTTATGTCGCCCTTCACTCAGTATTCTTTGTACTTATTTGCTTGACGGCTAGTATTTTTAAAAACAGATCCTACCTGCCAGTCGGTGCCTAGTTTTGTTGGCTAGCGAGCAACAAATCTAACCGAATAAATAAATAAATAACGAAAAGAAACATTTTTGGCATACGAAACTGAATCATTTTACAAGGAAAAGTAAAATGGTGATCAAAAACAATTATTCATTACATCATCGTTAACTTTTGTTAGCTTGTTATTGCCATTATTGCACTATACTGACGTCTCTTTTATATGTATGTATAAAAGCGAAATTTTATTTTTAGATTTACAAAATATATAATAAAATATAACGTTAAAACTCATCTCTATTTCTTATAAGTGTTAATTTACTATTTGTTTTAAATCATGACTCAAGAAACAAGTGGTCAACCACATTTAGCAAAACAATCTCTGGAGGATCTGGTTTGTAATCAAAACTACGTAGCCTATCGACTGCTTGAAATTTAATTATATTTCTATGCTCTTTCTAGGATCCAACTAAACTCACACCATTGACACCAGAAGTGATCAGTCGACAAGCAACAATTAATATAGGTAAAAACAAGTTTAAGTGTATTTCAAATGTTTGTATTACTATTATCGTATTTCTCATAGTTCGTGCGGTTATTATAAAAAGCCATTCTGTCTAATCTTTTCTCTTCTTTTCAGGCACAATTGGACATGTGGCTCATGGAAAATCAACGGTTGTTAAGTCTTTATCCGGTGTATTGACTGTTCGTTTTAAAAATGAAAAAGAACGAAACATTACAATCAAATTAGGTTATGCTAACGCTAAAGTAAGTGAGTCACATTCTGAACTGAGGTGAGAAATTACACGTGACTTGTAAGTCATAGATTAATTCCAAAATATAGATATATAGCTAGCACAGTTTCTGTCATTGTTGTTTGTTGCTAATAAATACTGTTGTTTATTTCTCGTCTTTTTAGATATTTGAGTGTGATAATGAAAAATGTCCTCGTCCTGAACGCTTTCGTTCAGCTGGTAGTCTTAAAGAAGATTCATTTCCATGTGATAGACCGGATTGTGGAGGAAATTTCAGATTAATCAGGTTGAAGTGCTTTGTTGATGAGTATTAGCAGCTTTTTTTAAATTTCTTTATTACTTTTTTTAGACATGTATCATTTGTTGATTGTCCTGGTCACGATATTCTTATGGCAACTATGTTGAACGGTGCCGCCGTTATGGATGCAGCACTTCTATTAATTGGTGTGTAAAAAAAACAAGCATTATTAATCTAGTTGATAAAAACAGTTATCGGAGGCGACTAATTAACTTCTCTTTTTAGCTGCAAATGAGACATGTCCTCAACCACAAACATCCGAACATTTAGCTGCCATTGGAATTATGAAATTAAATTCCATCTTAGTTTTACAGAATAAAATTGATCTAGTAAAAGAAATACAAGCAAAAGAACAATATGGACAAATTATTGATTTTGTGAAAGGTAAAGTCAGAGTAGAAAGTAAAAAACTGTTAATTGTTTCCATCTATGATTCTAGGCACGAATGCTGAAGGAGCTCCTGTGATACCGATAAGTGCACAATTAAAGTATAATATTGAAGTTATATGTGAATATATAGCAAAAAAAATTCCAATACCAATCAGAGATTTTACATCGAAACCAAGATTAATTGGTAAGTAGAAACAATATGAGAAGAGATTCTTGTCAATATCTTCAACAGGGTGAATTTTGGTAATTTGAAACTATTAACAATTCCATTGACTTTTTTTAGTTATTCGATCATTTGACGTTAACAAACCTGGAGCAGAAATTAATGATTTGAAAGGTGGTGTAGCCGGTGGAAGTATACTCAAAGGAGTTTTAAAAGTAAGTAAAAAGAATTAATGAGAAGATTACTGAAAGATGGATACTTTTTTCGTTCAAAAATATTGTTACATTTATGATTAATCTCTTTTGTATTCAGATTGGTCAAGAGATTGAAGTACGACCTGGCATCGTTTCAAAAGATGCTGAAGGTCATTTACAATGTCGACCATTATTATCAAAAATTGTTTCGTTATATGCTGAGCAAAATGTACTCGAATACGCTGTACCTGGTGGTTTAATTGGTAAGAATAAAATAATTATTTAAAAGATATTTATTTTTTCTTTATGTTTAAGTAAAACGAAGTAGTAGGCATTCCCATGGTCAATTAGGATTAGGTTCTAGGGTTATGATATCTATCTTCCGAAAATAAAATTGTCTTTCGTGCGTTCTATTTCTGTCAAGTTTTTTTCTGTATTTTTCCAGCATGCAACATTAGAATCGTTAGACATAGGTATTCTGAGTAGCACAGTCTCCTTAAAATTTATTAACTGAGCTACTCGATGGATGTAGCGACGTATCTTTTCTTTTTTTTCTTTTTGAGATTCTGCACAAATGTTATTATGTAACTCCAGGCGTCTCCCTTTTCGTCTACGGTTGTTCTCTTTCTACTTTCTCTACCAAATAAAGTTTATATCAAAGTGTTGAAAAACGTAGAACTGATGTTTTTAGGTGTTGGCACAAAAATTGATCCAACATTATGTCGTGCTGATCGTCTCGTTGGTCAAGTACTCGGAGGTGTTAATGCATTGCCAGAAATATTTACAGAAATTCAAATTAATTATTTTCTACTAAGACGTTTGGTCGGAGTTAGAACAGAAGGCGATAAAAAGGGAGCAAAAGTAAGTAGCTATTTATATCTTTTCAACTTTGATTCAGTTATGCGCGTGTATCTATTACAGGTCTCAAAATTGGCCAAAAACGAGATGTTAATGGTTAACATTGGTTCCTTATCGACAGGTGGTCGTGTTTTAGCTATAAAAGAAGATTTAGCTAAAATACAATTAACAAATCCTGTTTGTACAGAAATTGCAGAGAAAATTGCGCTCAGCAGAAGAGTGGAAAAGAATTTTCGGTTAGTAAACATATTCTATTGTACATCAGTGTATTATCGTTCATGCATTTCATTTCTATTTTAGTTTGATAGGTTGGGGTGAAATTCGCAGAGGAAGTGTTATTAAACCTATTTCAGATTCAAGGTCGTGACTTTTTTAGTTTATCCCATTCAAACAACAGTTAAACAATCAATAAAAAGTACAACAACGGGCGCAAAAATTTCCGACATATTAAACTCAACAGCAGCAGCACGTATCTCGTTATTTTTTATTTAGGCAATGTTTTCACTCTTATTTGTTAAGTTTTCTCTTTTCTCATTCGTTCTAGAATCATAACACCTAAAGTATGCGCTCGTCTATTGTTTCTTTTTTTTTGACAGTGAAAGATTGATTTGTGCGTCTATTTGAAATAAATTTTCATAAAAGGCAGAGAAATGTGCTGCGTATTGTTTTTTCAATAATCCGGGAAGGTTTTTTATTGCTCATTCATAGTGATGATATGAAATAATTATACGCAGACTGTTTGTACTATTTCAATGCTCAAGACTCTATTCGTGTGTATATGAGACACTGGTAGGCTAGATGTAATCACAACTCAATGTCAGGGATCATACCAGTCCGATCGAGAAACTCTAAAAGCTTGTTCGATCAAAACCAATTGCCGGTTTGGACTCTCCATAGGCGATTATCCTGACCAGCAATTTAGAACCTTTCGTAAAATTCTAGGAGGAGATCAACGGCAAAACGCTACGAAAAAAATTCGGTCCAGAGCAACCCAAAATTTCTTGCATAGAACAAGATAACAGACTATGACAAAGTCAAATCTACAATCGGTTTTAGCCGCTTTTAAACGAGCTTTTAAAAGTTTTGGATCGGATTGATATACGACATGAAGGAAAATTTTAATAGTTCAGCGTCATCTACATCCTTAGTCTAACAGCCGTCTAATTGTTCGAGGATCAATCAAATAACTATCGAAATTTTCTCGATTAAGTAGGAAATATGTTAAGTATCAGTGTATTTAATATGTGGGACACCGAAGAGATTGTGGAATACTCTAATGGTGATTATCAACCAATTAAAAATACCGAAGGAGAAATGCGGAGAAGAAATAATATAAACATCTAACACTGACTGCAATGATGCATCTGCTACGGCTGATTGAAAAGTAGTTTGTTTTTTACTAACGATGTGCGTGAATGATTTGAGCGAACACTCGATTAGTAAAGAGTATCAGTAGTGTATACCATAGCTTTTTTTACAGGTTTAAGATTACAGTAACTTTTGTTACATACTTAAACGTTTCTCTTAAGTTGTAAATTTAGAGTTGATGCATCAGATCTTCTGCTGTCTAAATTATCATTTCTAATATTATTGTACCAATAGTTTGTTTTGGCTTTTAGATTTTTGCTTAAACAAATATGTATTTGCACGTATCGTTGGTTCTGTTTTATATTTGTATCTCAATTGCTGGAACCACCAGTTTGAGACTCAGACAGACATTGTCAACCGTTGATGAAGAATTAATTTTATTTTCTTATGAAAAATTAAATGAAGTCTACCGCCAGCAGTTAACACCAACACACATTTTAAATATAAAAAAAGCAGTGAGTACATGCACTTCTAAGTCAGGAAGAGGTTGTGTTTGTCGAGAAACTAAATAAACGTATTCACATAAAGTGAGAGATCAACAAAAGTCTTCGATCTATAACGCGATGAGCCCTGCTAAACTATAAACACATATACAACACAAGAAGCAGATAAAAAAGATGTTAACTGAGAAAAAAAAAGACAAATTATATAGAAATAAATAAATAAGAAAGCTAGAAAGTATAAAGTTGACTTTTAACATTAAGAAAATAAGAATTTAGAGAGAAGACAATAAGGACAAACAACAGATGACCGATTCAGCAAGATTATCCTAGTCAGTGACTATGGACCAAAAGAAAGAAGAATGTACCGTTTGAGGAGAGAAATCGTTCACACGAGAATGAATACGAACATACTTGGAATGATGATAGCGTAGAGAAGAAGAGTGAACGCATTGACCCATATAATAAAAGAAGAAACAGGAACACGATAGTCAGATTTACAAGAAATAACATGAGCAGCGAGTTTGTTTCTAGAATCAAGAACAGTAAGAGAAAGCGAACTATCATCAATAGCTAAACTTTGAAAGAATAGAAGAAAGATAAATTGGACGGTATTGGACGATAAACTGAACTAATCCAAAGACACGATGTAATACCTCTGCGATCAACAAGAGTTATATCTCTGGCACGTTCATTCCACCGCACAGCGTGCGAAACAAGAACACCAAGACAATAAACAGAAGAAAGAACAGAAAGAGAGAATTCTTTGACATGTCTACTATGAAAGTGAAAAACAATATCAGAATTAGTGGATGAGGAAATGGTTGTTTGTTCACTTTTCATCGATGTTACTATCCTTTTGTCCTATTAACGGCATTTCTTCGTTTTGTTGTGGTGTAAAACTGTAGCGTGCTTCCCTGGGAATAGATGCTGACGTCTTTTGTTGATAACAATGAGTTAATGATATATAAGATCCACTGAGTTTTTTATCATTGGATGCACTATATGGCTGATATATCTTTTAACTAAATATTTATCAGACAATAGAAAAAGTTGGAAGTTTTAAGCGGAGTGTGTAACAGATACTCAGTTTGAACGATTTAAACTGATGAGCAGAATTCCATTGATCAGACAATATGTTGTAATTGTATTAGTTAGCCTATTCAGTGTAGAGACGATGTTAGGCACAGATTAGCAAGTTGTCATATATCGGTTTTCCTACGTCTTGAGATTTCGGCTAAAATGACTTTAAAAAGTGGGTCATGTCATATGCAGTAGACATGTTATAGCATATCATTGTCTCATCTTGCTTCAAAGACTTTTCAATTGATTTTGGAAATGATCTACATCGTAAATCTCAGATTTCATCTAAGCTATCTACGATTTTGTTTTCACAAACATGTCAACTCTTTTTCTAATCATTGATTATTATATAATTTGGTTGTTCTATTTGTTTAGGTTGATAAAGAAAATTCGCGTCAGCTTTATACTGTTCATTTTGAGGCAAAACCAACGGACTGTGAGAAAGAGTGCCCAGTAAGTTTTTACTCACACAATTCAAAATAAGTATTTTACACGTTACATATGTTTAGTCTTATGAATGTCCTGTATTAGTATATAATGATCCAATTGGTCATATTCGTGCATTAATTCGAAATATTGTTTGTATATCGTTAGTACATGATACAAGTCTAAAAACACTCATCGGGAATGATGAAAGAAATATCAACAAAGTACCATTTCCGCTCAAAGTAAAAAATCTAGAAACATTTGAGACAGAACTTATGGTAATTTTCATTAAATACAGGCTGATTCTACAAAAACAGTTGATGTTGAAAATACTGATTTTAATGAAGAAATGAAATATGATTCTTATGATGAACATTTGTATATAATATTTAGACGTTTACATGGGAAACCACACAGAAACTATAATGGTAAATCACACTATGGATGAAGACTATTTCTCAGGTTCATTCACTATTGCATCCCCACATCGACTAGGTTAGAAACGAATTACCTGTCACTTATAAGATTAAACGTCTGTCTTATTAGAAAGCATTTTATGGATAAAAATTGATAGGTTTTTTTATACTAATTAAAAATTTATTTTTTAGAAGGTGGAGAACGTTATAAAATATTTCAATCTAATCTAAATCGTATTCAAACATATAACGAACAAGATGATGGCACAGCTATTTATGGTGTTACACATTTAAGCGATCTAAGCGGTATACGCTTCTACTCCTGTACTTTAACTTTATACTCATGAAAGAATATTTTCTTTTATCTTTTCTAGAGGAAGAATTTACACAGTATTATTTAAATGAACGTCTCTCTTCCGTGTCAACATCCTCCCATACATCTTCATCTATTTATAACGTTCAGCATAAGTATAGTGACAATCCTCCTGAATCATTTGATTGGAGAGATTTAGGCGCTGTGACTGATGTTAAAAATCAGGTAATAACTAAAAGGTTTTTTTCAGTGCATCTATAGTGCTGATTTTCCTTTCTTATTTAGGGTTCATGTGGTTCATGCTGGGCATTTAGTGTCACAGGAAATATAGAAGGAGTATGGAAGGTGAAGAAAGGAGAATTAATATCATTATCAGAACAAGGTAATGTATTAAACCACTTTTAGCATTTCGAACATCTATTGAGCTGAAAAAAAAGGCTTTTAACTTTTGGGAGTAATTTTATTTTTAGTAAGAGTAAATTTTTTAAAATGAACGGAGTAATTATTTCAAACAAGGTGGGAGAACTCCCCCACCTTCCCTCACTTAATCGAAAACGCTGAGTTTCTCAATACATACATAAATGGATTTTCCATGTTAGTGTGCACATGCTTTCTCTTGCTTTTATTAGAATTAGTCGATTGCGATAAAGTAGATGAAGGTTGTAATGGTGGTTATATGACAACGGCTTATAATGCTATAATGAATTTGTCTGGAATTGAAAGTGAAGCAGATTATAAATATTTGGGTCGTGAACAACAGTGCCAATTCAATAAAACACAAGTGCACGTTTACATCAATGGATCAATCAACATTACTCAAGATGAAAATGGTAAACTTACTTCTATCATTTAATTCATGCTCATTTTTACTTTTCTATTATTAGAAATGGCTAAATGGCTTGCTGCTAATGCTCCGATATCAATTGGTATCAATGCGAATATGATGCAGGTGTGTGCGGAAGGAATATGAATCTTTTAAAATATTTGTCTTATAAAATCTTATTTAATTCTTTTAAGTTTTATTTCCGTGGAATTGCACATCCAAGAAAATTTTTATGTAATCCGAAGGGGATTAATCATGGTGTTTTACTTGTTGGTTATGGAAATGAAACAAAAGGTGAGAAAAAGAACAGCTTGCGCTTTCTTTACGTTGTTTTTACGACTATAATTAGCTTTCATCAAAAATGATAACGATAGAACAAAATACTCTCTTAACGGATGAAGAGGGTCCTTAAAAAATTCTTTATTACTGTGTGTTACAAATTAGCCATGAAACCAAGTCATGCTCATTCTTTCCAATTCTCTTTTTTTCTCCTCACTCTATTCTCTGTCTACTATATTTACAGTACTGTATAGTGTGTCTAACATTACTTTTATCTTCGGTTTTTATTGTTGAATCATCTTAGCTCAGCTAATGTTTCTCGCATTTATGCCCACGATATCGTTTAGAAGATGTACCTAAACAGTCAATGAAAATATATCACAAACGTGTGGTGCATTTTTCTGGTTCATTTGTAACATATTCTCTTTTTTCTTAGGATCAAAAACTACACCATATTGGATTGTGAAAAACTCGTGGGGTGGTCACTGGGGCGAGAAGGTATTTTTGTTTGTTGAAACTTTTTACTGATTAATATTCATATCGATTTGTTTTATAGGGCTATTATCGTGTTTATCGTGGAGATGGAACATGTGGAATTAATACGATGTGTTCATCAGCTTTAATCGATTAACTGAGCTGACCTCCTTATTTCAGTCTAACTGAACATTCCATATTGTAACATACATATTTATTATATATTTTATTATTTAGCCTGTTTTTTAAAAATGTCTTTTTTTTAATTTTCGTAATACTTGTGGTCAATTAAGTTTTGCTGTGATTTGTTTTTGAATATGTGAATCTATCCGTCGTTGAATCTTGTCAATTGTATATAGGTATCCGCATTGTACATACAAATCTCGCTTTTAGATATTTTTTTGTATTCTCATTAATGATAGATAAACTAAGATTTGAATATAGTAATGCGAAAAGATAAAAAAAACTAGGTTTTTGTTAAATATATTTGACTGGAAGACTCACAGAATTTAAATGAAAAACTGCTGGAGGCTGTTCACACATACACTTGGATTTCAAGTGTTTTTTGACCTTTTCACCAGTAAAGGCAAAGAAAACAATGAATAGAATAGTAATCTCATATTATGTTCAATACGAATATCTTTACTCCTTCACCTGATTGATGGGCGCTGACGGATGTTTTTCAACGTTACAATCTAGGGTAAAAAACCTTATCGGAGCTAAAATTGTGAAACTCCTATATCTTTCATTTAATAGTTTAACTACCTCAAAAAATAAATTAACTTTTATTTTTCGATGTAATGATTCAACTCTGATTTATTTTGTAATCTTGATTATTCGATTTTAATAACATATTCGTTTAGTTATGATTTAGAATGAATACTAGATCCACTAGGAGGGGGGAGGGAGTTAAAAAACCACCGAAAATCACAGGATTTCGATTAAGGCATTCAAAATTGCAGCAAAATTTTTTTTTGCGATATTTTTACATGGGTGAGAGAGAGCTCGTCGAGCTGAATCAGAATATATGTGTGTTATCGTTCCGAAAAACATTTTTGAAGGTGACAATTTTAAAACTTGAAAAAGCGGCCTAATGTTAATAAACGAGCGTATATTTCTAACCCAATGACTTTAGGAGCTTTGAAAGTATTTTTTTCTTGTTCTACGTGAAAAACTAAATCTAAAACTGTAGCATTAAGTCAAATATTATATGGCGCTGGGAAATTTTAGTTTTTGACCGATAGCAAAAATCCCTCATCGCTACCTGCTAAATGCACCAGCTATTTTTAAATTAGAGATGAAGCTAATATATTTATATCGTTAGGCTCGCCACATCGGCATGAAAACAGCTATGCATCGGTTTTGGAAAATATTGCTTCGTTATTGTGAAAATTAATTTTTCTGAGACAGATAGCATAAAGTAAGGAAATGCACTTGTATTTTGCAGGTTTTGCCATCAAACTTCCAGTTTTTGCAAATCCAATCTCATATTTGGAATCGGCATTGAAAACTGAATTGACTGATGTGTGTTTCAGGTTTTTGCGACAACTTTGATTTTTCAATAAAGGGGGGGGGGGGAGAATCGATCCCCACAATCCCCCTGGCTACGTCACTCCTTGTGCAGGATGCGTCGCTGCAAAAACCTCAGACATCGGCAGAAAATCAAAGAGAATAAAACTTTCTGTTCGACTTCGGACTTAAATGGCAGAGGTTTACTCTAGTATCTTCAAGCGACGTGTCATATTTTCTAGTACATTATACTTATGAAAATGGCCTATATACGGCCAGAAGACTAATGTGTGAAGAATAATGCTTAATGATCGAAAGTACTTGATAATTGCGACAGAAAATTAAAGATCCATTGAAAGAGTATTTAGACCCTTTTCTTTCCATAGGATGTGCGACGACTCTGTCTCTCCTATTATTCGATCTTGCACTGTAACTTTGTAAAACTTATAACTGTACTTTTGTAAACTTTTCTTTATATTTTTTTCTAATCAGAAACAATCTTTTTTCAAGCTAACCGAACTTCGCTGTTTCTTATAAGATTTTTATACAAATATCTATCAGTAGGGTGAGCTCTCTATCCGATGATGTAAAACTGAGTGGAGCTGTGCTGGACTGCAGTAGTCTAAAATAAATTTAAGTCGTTGTACATCTTTTTTTTTCTCTATCTTTTGAATTAACCCCTAGCTGTTAAACGATAGCTGCACGACGCTATTCTTGCTTATATAACGTGCGTCAGGGCAGTGAACATGATAAGGCTTCATTATTAGGAATCACTTATTTACCGTCAGCGATGGACACGAGAAAAAAAAAGTAACTTTGATTTATCAGAAAAAACCTTAGGGAATTAAAATCTTTAGTGTTGAAAAACTTTTTTTCTGTCAAATTTTCCAATGCTCAGAACCTCTCATTCATGAACCAATTCTAGTGACTGTCCCGTTTTCCACCAATGAATATTTCTCTTTTTTCCTTCCCAATGTTGTGTAGTGAGTAGATAGATTTTCTTCTGACAGCTTCATGTCAGCTGAATACCATAGTCAGAAGTGTTGTTTTGCCTTTCTGTCTTCAATAATGAGTTATGTAGCGTTCTTTACTTTTTGTCATATTTATGATCACTAGTAATGTAATCTAGAAACGATTATGTTATTTCCTAGACGACATACAGTTTTCATTGTTCTTACGTTCGAAGATAAAACTTTCAATAAGAAAGTCGCTTAAATAATTTAACGGAAAAGAAAAATACTTTTATTTTATTTTCGCGTGAGTTATTTATATCCAGACTTATAAGCTCTTCCAAACAGGATATCAAATCGAAAAATATAGAGAGCCTAGTCACTAATACAATTTAAAGTGCAAATTTATTATTGAATTATGGACTCTAATGATTCTTCTTCTGCACCTCAGCAATGCAACATATGTACAAAAGGGATGGCTGCTTCAAAGTGTTCCGGTTGTAATAGTATGTTTTGTAAAATTCATTTTTTTGAACATCGTCAACAGTTAAAATCTGAATTAGAATGTGTAATTTATGAGCACGATATGTTGAATCAACAATATTTTAAATCGTCATCACAGAATAATACCGAAAATGAGTTGAAACTGTTTAATATAATTAACGAATGGGAAAATGATACCATGAGCAAGATACGATTAGCAGCTGAACAATTTCGACAACGTTTTCAACAAGTGATAGGTGAAAAAAAGGAAAAAGTGCGGAAAGAATTTCAAACAATAAACCATGAGCTGCGTACACGGCAGAATGTTAATGACTATGTTGAAAGTGATTTAAGTCGATGGAAAGATGAACTAACAGAACTTAAGGAAAAATTAGAGATGATACCAACATCGATTAAAATTAGTACGGAAATAAGTGATCGTCTAAATTGGTCATCGATGGTACAGATCAATGATACAAATACAAACAACACTGAGGGTGCTATACCTATAAATCGTGTGACTAAAGACCAAGAGCAGTGGTCCAATGTCGATCAGTACATCAATGATCTTTTACTTCCACCAGATTCTGTACTCGATGGAGTCCTAGAAGCGAGTGCCGCTGCCGGTCTTCCACCACACAATGTCTCGCCAAATCAAGGAAAGTTTTTGCATCTATTAGCTAAAATCACTAAAGCTCGTAAGATTTTGGAGATCGGTACACTAGGTGCCTATAGCACCATCTGGCTTGCTCGAGCTCTCCCCTCCGATGGTCGATTAATCACTCTGGAAGCGAATCCAAAACATGCTACCGTGGCTCGACTAAACATCGAGCTCGCAGGATTGACCGATGTAATTGATTTACGCTTAGGATCTGCATTAGATACACTACCACAACTCTCTACTGAAGGTAAGGGTCCTTTTGATTTGATTTTTATCGACGCCGATAAGCCAAACAATCCGCAGTACTTGGTTTGGGCATGTCAACTATCTCATTCGGGTACGGTAATTATTGCAGATAACGTTGTGAGAAACGGCGCTGTGATTGATGCCACTAGCAATGATCCAAATGTGGAGGGAATTCGCCGTTTTATGGAATTACTCGCTGTTGAGTCAAATGTGAGTGTTACGGCACTTCAGACTGTAGGCAGCAAAGGATACGATGGCTTTGCCATTGCACTTGTAACAGAAAACAATCCGATTATGAAAGAGTCCTAAATCAGTAATAAAAAAAGTAATAGGACTAAAGTCACCTTTTTAAGTAAAAAGGTGACTTTAGTCCTATTATTCTTATAAAAAGGTGACTTTAGTCCTATTATTCTTATTAAAAATTTTCACCTTACGAAATAATTCTTCAATAAAAAAAGTTGTGCTATTGAACTTCTCAAAAAATATGAAATGGAACGTCTAATTTTTCATATGATGTTGTTTAGTTTTCTTTCTTTGTTTATTAGTCTTGCATTAAACATTATTTAAGCAATGATAATTTCCATTTTTCACAGCTGAAGTGAGAAAAAAGTTGTATTACGGTATATTTTGAACTATTCCTTCTGTTTGTCCTCTTTCGCACTCTACAACGGTACTTCTACTCATTGTACTTCTTTCTTCCAATATTTTGTTTATGATACTTCCGAAGAAAAAAAATGTAAACAAAATATGTCACAAGAGTATACCTCTATTTGCATTTTTTGTTCTCTATGTTTTTATAAAATTAGATTAAGTTGGATTCTTTAGTTTTATCTGATACCTGGAAGAAAATTTCCTGGCAAATATTTATTACAAAACTAAAAGGCAAAAATTCTAAAAATATATTCAAACATTATTCCAAATTTTCTTTTTACATTCTCTAACGATTGGAATTGTTTACTATTCGTAGACAACACGCATAATAAAAGTGTGCATCGAAAAGGAAGAAATAAAAAAAGACGGTCGGTGTGGAAAGCGATTAGATCAAGAGTATATCCCATTCTGCGCAACAAAAACATTAACCGCCTATTTCTCGATCGGGATATAAATTCGACTAAAATCTGATAAACGTTTTTGTTCGAAAAAATAGTTGCTGGGTGCCTGATACACTTTTAAGCAAACACAACAGAATCTGATGTAGTTTTTCGAGCTCTTGCTAATGGCGACGCCAATTTTTCTCCATAACGTCGTCATTTTTCCCTTAATCGTTTTTACGACGAAATTTTGTGTTTTATATCCGGATCGGGATATTAATTTTTTTCTATATTCTGATCGGGATATATATCTCGATCAGGATACAGGATCTGTGTACTTACCGACAGATTTAGTGTTCAATTTTATCATGATGTGTGAAGCGCTTTTCGGTACCCATCTGTTCATGGGCGAATTATGTTTTCGAGCTGAATAGGCAAGATCTTGTTTGCAAGACATTAATCTATCATAAGTCAAATATTCTTACCGTCCTATCAGAAATTTTGTATCACTCACTATAGTTCGTTAATCGTTACGAACTTTCCGTTCCAGAACTGAAATAAATATGGCATAAATATGTGAACGGCGACGGAAGGGAAGACGAGTCATTACTGAACAGCATAAACCACAAAAAGAAATAATACAATCACCTAAATAACATATCAATGATCGTCCATCGTATCCTTTGATCAGTTACGAACAAAGAACAAGTCATCTGATGGTCATTTATATACTGTTAATGACAAAGATGAAGATGATATATATGATTGATGGTTGTGAAGATTATGCGAATTATGAATTGGAATCTTGTAATATTCAGAATATACATGTCATAGGAGAAAAGTGAGTGTTTTAAAGTATATTTCCAGTGTCCAATGTCTTATCTATGAAAAGACAGACTTAAATTTCGAGTGTAAATACAATTTTTCAAAGAAAACGATATTGATGAATCGATAGTTTTCTAAAACCGACAGGACTTCAAAAGTTCGAAAAAATTCGCATTACAGTCTCCTACAGATTTGCGTAACGATCTTGATCACAACAAATAAAATAATTAGAATTTTTGATGCATAAATTAGGTATGAGTTAAGTAGATTTAGTCATTTTAAAATTTAAATTTGTATATGTCATAGCGTTTAAAGGATAGAGATCTATTAAGAATGATTTAATCAGAATAAATCTTTCTTTTTTTAGAGTTTGATGGTGGTAGTTTCAATGGTGGATCATAGAGTGTTCATAAACGACAATATTCGGTTGTGAACGAACAGGCTTGTCATCAATAGAGGATCATGCGATATTCCTCATTTTGTAATTTTTGATTTCTTCTAGCTATGAAGAATAGCTTTCTTCAGTTCGACACAAAACCAAAAACTCTTCAAAATTCGATTCTCTAGATGATCTCTTTGCTTTTTGAGTCTTGAAACGGCTTCGTCGTCACCCTACTAAAAGGCTGATTCAAGCAGATTTGTTACTTAAAAAACCCTTCAAAAGAAACCCTACTTGTTATAGTGCTGAATTTTGATAGAAAATTTTAAAAAAAAATTTTTTAAAAAAAATACGAATGAGGATTACGAACCAAAATGTTCGGCATTATATCTCTGTTGATTCTTCCTAATACTTTGATCACATCATTTACGATATATCTCAAAGCTGCCAATGAGAAAGAAATACGACAATCATTGACAAGTAAATTTACCGCAGGTGACATTAATAGAAGCTTGCTTATACTGAATGTAAATTTCATTCACTAAACGAAGTATTTCATTTATACGATCGAATTTTGCACAAACTACTATTTACAGTAAGAAAACATCATTTATTGGTAAATTTTTTGTTCACTTTACTCATAATGAATGCCGTTATTGTTCATGCTCCATGCAAAATCAATTTAACACTTGATGTATTTGGTGCAAGATTAGATGGATATCATGACCTTGAATCAATTGTAGTGCCATTCACACCGGCGGATGAAATTTCTGTAAAAAGCAAACCTGCACATACTCCATATCACCACGTAACACTAGATTGTGATGATTCATCTTTACCGACTGACGAGGGAAATCTTGCTTTTCGGGCGGCAATTGTATTTCTTAATCGTTTTATGCCGAACCAACCACAAGATGTTACTATTCGATTAAGTAAGAAACTTCCGTGTCAAAGCGATCTTGGGGGTGGAAGTAGTGATGCAGCAGCCGTACTCAAGGCCCTACATCGTATATTTTGTGTTGATCCAAAAGAATTACTCGAACTTGGTTCAACAATCGGTTCAGATGTCTCTCTTTTCTTAATTGGTGGTCCAGTTCTTATGTCTGGAAGAGGGGAAAAGGTTGCACGTTTAATAACTTCTCTTTCTCATATTTTTGGTGTCATTGTCAAGCCAGATATAGAAGTTCCGACAGCGAAAGCTTATGCTTTGGTAGACGCACTTAAAAATCGCGTGCCGGGAAAATCAACTGAACGCCTCTGTGAGTTACTTCGCACGGAGTTAAGCATGGAGAAGTTGGGTGTTGCTTTCAACAATGACTTTGAAGATGCTATATTTCAAGCATATCCTGAAGTTGCCGAAGCTTATCGTTGTGTTGCATCAGCCGGTGCTATTCGCGCACTGTTATGTGGTAGTGGATCGGCTGTGTTCGGCCTTGCTCGTGATTATGATCATGCTACACAACTTGTTAATTTACTTCGTGCTCGTTTTCCTTATGTGACTATGGCTACGAGTTTCAAAGAAGAGTTATAAACAAATTCTAAATAGGTAAAAGTAGTCGGTTCATGAATGGAATCGGTGTCCATTCAAACACATAGACTGATTAACCGATTTCATCTTTCGAGCTGGATATTTATTGATTGCTCTATACGTAGTACATTGATCAATGATTAGAGAAACTTTTTGGCAGTCCAAAAGCCGAATATTGCTAAGGTGAACACGATAAAATGCTGACTTCAACTGTTCAACTGTTCACCTTAAGTATCTTTGCCATTCAGCTACTCAAAAGGCAGAAATATAAACTTTTAATTTTTAGTATATTATAGTTGTAATTACATAGGCTCTAATTAACAGATGGTAATAAAAGCAAACATTTAAAACGTAGGATATATTGCAGTAGGTGACGGCTAAATTACCTGAGAAAACATATAATTCAAAAAATTACGTTCTGCAGTGTGTTAAGTCATCCATTTATAGGAGATTTTATTCTCAAGTTATTTCTACACCCATGTATTCTAAGCTATGATAAATTTTAGATATCTTAAAATATGAGCACCAGACAAACACGAGTCGGTATTGGTTTTGATGCACATCGATTTATTCCACACCAAAATAATAATAAAAATACAATCTCTCTATGCGGTGTACAAGTAAATTCAATTTATGCTGTTGAAGCCCATTCTGATGGCGATGTTGCCCTACATGCATTAGTAGACGCTATGCTTGGCTCGATAGCTGCCGGTGATATTGGTCAACATTTTCCACCTAGTGATCCAAAATGGAAAAATGTTGAATCAACAATATTTGTTTCTTATGCACTTGATCTAATTAAACAAAAGAATGGTGAATTAAACAATATTGATATAGTAATAATTGCTGAAAAACCTTATATATTACCGTATCGAGCATTGATGCAACAGCGTCTCAGTGAACTATTAAACTTAGATTTAGATCGTGTGAGTATAAAAGCAACAACCACAGAAAAAATGGGTTTCACAGGTCGTGAAGAAGGAATTGCCGCTCAGGCTATTATAAGTGTTTTAATTTAAATTATATTATACACAAATAAATGTTTTATATTACGCTTTTTAGCAGATCGTTCTTCTAGTATCAAAAGACACAAGCTTGAATCAGCCAATTATACTCTTGAATGAGAATTTTTCAAAGTAGCCCAATGCTTGGTGTTCAAATATTGAAATGAGAATTAATTCTACTAATTTCAGCATGAGTACTTTTACTACATAAATAATTACAAAAGAAAGTAAAACGTTAAATATACTTGCAAGAACTAATCTAGATTTATTATTAAAAATATGTACATACATACTATAATATACTTTAGCATAGGGACGACGTATGAACAAACGTGTATGAACAAAACAATACATCATCATAGCGGCAGACTGTGAACATGATTAGTTGATAGTTCATTTGAATAAACTTTTACAGCAGAAAAACAATACAAAAGTGAGCTTACCCTATATACCAGCAATTAGAGTACATGCAAAGAAGAACTCACTCAACTTCCACTAAAAACCTCGAATCCTCGGCTAGTACTGTATTACTTTAGGACTTATTAGCAAAATTGACACAAAAACAGTATCGCTAAATCTTCCACATTTGTAAAACGTGACCATCATCACTATTGGATTGTATAATTTTTTCTATATAAATTCTACAACAAGAATTCTACACGATTTCTTCTGAAGGGTATGCCCTAAAATTACATTCCTGCAGTATGCAATGATAGGATTTTTAACACAAGAATCCTATACTTTGTACAGAGGACGTATAAACTTCTACTACTTTGGAGCCATCAAAAGCATCAAATAAATCAAAATCTCAAGGAAAGAAAGCTAAGTTTTTCCGTCTAGCCAAGGAAGTATGAAAAAAAGTAATAAGATAGCTCGTACGTGAAAGAAGTGAGAAGATGGATTGGCCCGAATGCATAAAGGCTTCCTATGGCAAGATTCTACGTATGACCCTGTAGAAATTCTGTGATAGGAAGCGCTACTAATTTTGTAATGGATCGCAGGCATACCACTTGTCTATAGGAGTTTTACAAGAAATCCTGGGATTCTACCACACAACTATTCGGCCTGAGCGTATTCCAGTCAAGAGGCATATCGAAAGGCATATGATCATTATTATTTTGATCAGTGTCAATCCATCGATAAAAATCAATTTAGATAAAGTTGTTCAACTATGCAAACAAGCTCTATATAATGATTGATAAAAAGGCTGCACAATAATTTAGTTTCAATGTGTCGAAGGTTCTTCAGAACAATCTTGTTGATGAATATTAAGAAATCTTTTTAAATAAATGCTTTATTGAGATAGATAGACTGCATATTCTCATTCCAAATTTATTATTATGCATAAATTGAACGAAAAAGATGTGTGTTTTGATGTCTGTGCTGTGTCATCACATTAATTAATGTTGCATTACTCCAAAAATGACCGACGATTAAGTTCAACATTATCCATGTCTGTTTCACCCAATATTTCCAATATCTCACATTCATCACGACAGGTCTGAAGAGCTTTTGAATTACGAACTTGTTTTTTCAATAAACAACGCGCAGTACAATCAAGATATCTACCATTCACACTAACGAAGCATACCATCATAACCAACAATAGTACTATGACAGAAGAAGAAAAAAATTTTAATTTTGTTTTAGTAACATTGTCTAATAGTATAATCACTATTCTCCAAAGCAGTTAAAAAGTAAATGCAAAACTTACCAGTAATGACATATAAAGTTTTCATAGTTATTTATTCGTCTATACTTGACACAGTCAACAAAAATATGAAATGTGGATCTGCTTTAACAGATCTTATATATATTTGTGCTGTATATATTAAAAATGATTTCTCTCTCTCTCTCTATCTTTCTCGCTTTCTCGATATTTACCAAAAAACACTAATCAAAAACTTAATGCTGTATGCACTTTGATAACAACATGTGTTCTATACATTTACAATGGTTAACTCTACTGGATTCTTGAGAATTTCTACACGAATACACATATATCAATACTGTATAAAACAGATAAAAACTATGGATGAAAAATAAATAAAGATAACATTGTCATTCAATATCAAATGTGTAATATGGTGTTATTTAGCTTCCTTTTTCTCGATAAATATAAATAAATTGACTATTTTTTTCGTTTTGGCCTTCGATTTGTTAATGCGCATATTCCAAAGCTTCCAAGTGGTTTTAAAATAACTATGTTCAGTGACAATGAACATTCGTCACATTGAAGACAAAAATGAAAAATATTCCATGAATACACTATGAGACCTTCATCGAAAAAGTGAACAACGAAATGAAACGGAAAATCAACATTACCACGGAGAATTACTTGTTTTGTCGCCAAAATTTGATACATTATAATATAATACTGATATGCAGATCAAACGAAGTTAATGGTCCTGAATAATAGAGTAATAGTAAGCAAGCAGATGTGTGAAGAATTTGCGAAAAAAAAACTTTTTCCTGTAAACAAATTTTATTATTGACAAGGAATCTAGCAAATAGCAATCTAGCAGATATCTCTTTCTACATAAGATATCCCATGTACGGCACAGTTATTCGTCTCAGCGCATCAACAGAAAAGAACAGAAAGATATACATGTGCAAAAAGAGACATTCCCTTATTTGCTAGTTCTCTATTATCATTTCCATCGATAGATGAAAACTTCTTAGAGAAGAGATTGTTTGCAATAGAGTGTGCTTGTGGTGAAATTATAACTAGCTTTATCAACCATCTGCAAGTACTATCAGGGAGTACTACGCGGAGGCTAATGGGCTATAGTCTGTGACATTCTGATTTAGCCTAATAGGATACCAAACATCTGTAATCTTCTAAGCTACCGATCGACGTACACAGCGAAAAGGAAATTCTGTTATGTTTTCTGTAACCGAATGTAAAAAGAATATTCTTAAAGAAACGTTTTTAGTTAGAACAATAAAGGAGTGGAACGGTCTTCCTAATTCTGTAGTTTTATCATCCACCGTAAACCCAGGCACAAAAATAGTGGCCCTAAAACGCGTTTTTTCTCGTTTTTAACGATCAAAAAACGCGTTAAAAGCGAAGGAAAACGCGTTCAAACAGCCTTTTGAACACTTTAGAAACGCGTTACTTTTGCGTTAAAAACGTACAAAAAAAACCGTTTTCAAACGTTCTAAAACGCGTTTCAGATGAAGCATTTAACGCGTGTTTTGCTCGTTAAAAACGGAATAAAAACGCGTTTCGGGATCGAGTCTGCAACTCCTGAATCGTTCCAGAATTTTCGTTAAGCCAAAGGTGAGACTTAGCCACCCAGTGGGACTTGGTCTAAAAAGTGAAAGTCTATAATAAAGGAAGTACAAAACTAATGATCTAAAACTGAAAAAGAATGAAAAGACGATGATATTTCATATCACCGGATCGAAAAGTTTTAAAAGCTTGTTCGGTCAAAACCGATTGCAGATTCATCTTCTCCATGGTTGATTATGTACGCAATAACTTTTGGATCGGGGTACTTTAGAAAAAAAATTTTCCATGGTCTTGCTCAAAAATTTTTCAAAAAGTTACCGTATGGTACCAAAGGCAAAACGATGTCGAAAAATGTTTCTAAAGTACTCCGATTCAGAAGCTATCGCGTACCACATAATCAACCATGGAGAAGACTAATCTGCAATCGGTTTTTGACCGAACAAGCTTTTAAAATTTTTCGATTCGGTGATATGCCTTCGATATTTCGAGTGTGTTTATATACTCGGCTGGCCGCAAAACAAGACAGTGAATAATTAGTTGCGTTTTTCAACCGTTAAAAGCGAAATAAAAATGCGTGAGAACGGAAAATGAAACAGACATTTTCAAACGCGTTTACACGCGTTGTATCCCATGGAAAACGGGTCAAAAAACGGGAGTTTTGTAACGCATTTTTTTACCGTTTCTAACGATTTTTTGGTGCCCGGGAAATGTTCTGCCATTAACCTAAAACAGCATTTATCGTGTGATGTAGAGCCCACGTCTCTACATATTTGTTCACTTAATTTTCTTTATTTTTATACCTATTGTATAGATAAATTCATATAGGTACGACATCTTTACAAGAGATGTATTAATTTACGTCGCTTTTGTGGCAATGCTTGTTAAGTTTGTTTTCTCTTTTCTGCATGTGCGTTCAACTTTACTAAATAAATATATGTTATGTTATATTATTTCATTTTTTTCTCTATCTCTTATTCTTTGAGCGTTTCTAAACGTTGACGAGAATAATTTTTTAATGATTCTTAGTGTACCTGCATTTATAACGCGTCATAACCAGTCATTATATTATTTTATTTTAAGCTAAATTTTTTTGAAAAAGCTTTTCTAACCCAGTGATTTCTGAAATTTTTTCAGCATGATATAGTCCTATATTCCAAATTTTTAGGAATGGGGTTTAAAATTTATAACTGAATGTAACAAAGGTTCAAGATAAAAAAATATTATCTAAACTAGAGGTGCTACCATTTGGGCCTTTTATTGTTAAATATGACAAAAAACATGATACTAACGTTATTATGTCTAATATGTATTTAGCATTGCAATCTCCTGTTTCATGCGTCAATATCAATTAGTTATCTTAAAGAATAATCTTCGTATACATTTATTTGTTTACATAGATACTTGATGCACGTTAAGTATACATATTTCCAGTAAAATTAATGGATTGGTTTGTCTACTTTTTATTAGTTGTAGTAGTATTAATCGACAACGATACGGGTGAAAAAAGGGATTATTGCATTTTACACTTTGACATTGATTATTGTTGAGAATATAATTGCTATATATAGTCGTCGCTAATTATTATTAATCAAACAAACGGATAGACATCACCTTATGCTTATCTTATTGTATTCAAACATATGAAAAACTATGTTTTCTTCTATCATAATCATACAATTTAGCTACATAGAATGTCGCGGTCCCTTTTACGAATTTTCAATTATTCTTTCATATTATAAGTCTGTTTTGCTTTCCTGATGAACAACCGATGCTTTTTCTA